TTCTCTTTTCTGCATTAAATTCTCTGTATTAGGCTGTATAATGACCCCCAAGGGGATCAGGTCATAAGCCCTGGAACCTATAAGTGTTCCCTTAAAAGGAAAAAGAGACTTTGCAGATGTGATTAAGGAACATGGTCCTATAGAGTCCGGGTGCACCCTAAATGCAATCACGTGTATCCTTCGGAGGAGGAAGGAGAGGGAGGTTTGACACAGAAGAGAAGGTCACGTGACCGTGGAGGCAGGGACTGGAGTGATGCAGCCGCCAGCCAGGGAACCTGGCAGCCACCAGAAGCTGGAAAAAGCAAAGAACAGACCCTCTCCTATAACCTCCAAAGAGCGTAGCCTTACCGACACCTTGGTTTGGCTCAGTGATACTGATTTTGGACTTCCGGCCTCCGGAACTGTGAGAGAATGTATGTCTGGTGTCTTAAGCCACCAAGTTGGTGGTAACTTTTTTACAGCAGCCACAGGAAACTAATACAGTCTCCTAAGAGATGGAGGCAGGGGGAGTAAGTCTTCAACCATCAGTGTAGGTGACTCAGAAGTCCACACTCAAGCATCTTCTTAGTCAGAATGCTCAAAAGAAATCCTGCCGTGGAAAGCCAGAGTATGGGCTCTCCCCACAAAAATGAATCCACCTCCTTCCTCGCCCCCAGCTCCTTTCTTGGCTTTGTGTTTCTTTCTAGAACCTAACAATTCCTGACATGTTGTATATTTGTTTATTTGGCTGTTGTTGGCTCCCTCCCAGTTGAACACAAGCTCCATGGGAAGTGACATTTTTAAACTGCTTTTCTCCCCACGCCTAGAAGAGTATGTAGCACATAGTGATCACTTGATAACATTTGTTGGGTGAATGATTGAATGTCATGTTACTGCCACCTGGACAGCCCTGACGTCGCATCAGGGGTATGATAACAGCATGACATACTACCAAGAAGCTTCCTAAAGGGCCACTTTAAAAAATATCTGAGATAGAGTCTTTGCTCAGGTAACACTGTTTTTCATTTTCTGCAACGTCAGTGTCTACTTCCTACTTTGTTCAGGCCCCGAACCTTGGAATCATCTTTGATGCCTCTGTTTCTCACACTGCACATCTAGAGCATCAGGAAATCCTGGCGTTTTCCTCTACCTTCGAAACAGCATTCACAATCAGACCACTGCCCCCTGGTCTCAGGGGCAACGCTTCCTGATGGTCTCTTCCCTGTCACTCTTGGCCCCTCCCGACAACTCAGCAGCCAGAAGGATCCTTTGAAAACCTAAGTCAGATCTTATCCCTTGTCTGCTCCAAGCTCTCTGATGGCTCCCAGCTCCCTCAGAATAAGAACCAAAGTCCTTAGTGCAGCTTGTCGCCATCCCTTACAAATGGCAACAGGCCCTATGTCATTTGTCATCGGCCTGGCACTCTGCTTACCTCCCTGACCCACCTCTCTCCCTCTCACTCGGCTCTAGTCACTCTTGCATCCCTGCTTTTCTGTTCCCACCTTGGGGCCTTTGTACGGGCTGTTCCCTTTGCCTGGAATGCTCTCCTCCTGGATGTCCACATGGCTCACTCCCTTGGCAACCTCAGGGCTCTTGGATGTCACATTCTTGGTGAGCGTTCCTGGGCCACCCTATTTAAAATCCCTACTCTACTGCCCTTCCCTGCTATATTTTGCATAGATGGTTTTATCATCTGACATGCACACACACACACACACACACACACACACACATTCACGTTTACTGTCTGTCTCCCCCACTAGAATCTTAATTTCATGAGGGCAAGGATTTTTATCTATTTGGTTCACTGATGTGTCTTGAGTGTCTGGAATAACGGTGCCTGGCACAGAGTGGGTGTCAGTAAATATTTCTTGAATAAATAGATGAGAAACATTATGTTGGACTAGATGATGTTTCCAAAAGCAAAGGGATACACGGAAGGTCTTCTGATGGCTCAGGAAAACAGGCATGATTTCCTCATACTGGGACTTGTTTGTCTTTTAAAACATTAGCTTTATCTTTTTATCCCTTTCATAGTTGGGACTAATTTAATATAATTGGTTTATTAAGGATGTCTAGACAATAGGGCACAGGAAAGAAACCTGCCTTTTGGGAATGTAACCGTATGTGTCTGACAAGAAAATTAAATATGTGGAAACTGCAGAGAAATATCTTGCATTTGTGCTGTGTGATCTGTTGGCATAAACACACTTAGACAGACTGCATGAAACCTGCTTGGATGATTTTTGCTTTTGGTGTTGTCCCCTCATGTCTGCTCTGCTCGTTCTCCCTGAGAAGGTGTTTCCTCTCTACACGTGCACAGAACACCCAGGAAAAAAATTGTCACCCAGGTGTGCGTGAAGTCCTGCACACCCCAGATACTCATTTGTAAAGTACAGTCACGCTATAAATCTCAGCTGACAATCTAGTACTTGCTTAGCTGGAATGACCTCTGCACCAGAGAGAGAGAGAGAGAGAGAGAAGGAGGGGCTTTATAGGCACCTGGTTGCTGATTGCAGTTTCTCATAAATATTCAGCCTCTTTGAGGTGATTGGGACACGTTTGAGGTATTAAACATGGGTATGTGATATGCTACTGCATGGTCCATGATTGGGGATCTCTTATTTTCCAGAGCAGATTTCAAAGGCCTTAGCTTGAATTGATTCCTAATTCAGAGGGGACACAGTCCTGATTTTCCTTGGGAAGAAGTCGGCTCCTGCCTCTTCCTGACGCCCCTTCCCTGCTCCCTGCATGACCCCCACCCACCCACCTTTAGGGGTACCACGCTGGTTTAGTCCCAGCCTCCTGGATCTCTGCGGCCCTGCACTCATTGCAAGATCGCCGCGTTTTACCTCCTTCTTTCCCTAAGGAGACAAGGACTCCTCAGTCAAGCCTTTCCCCCTCCTCACACTGCCCCTTCCGGACTCACCCTTGGCTCCCTGCTGGATTTGCCGTACTCTAGAGAAATGAACAAAATCATTTTACCAATTACTGGCAGCTTTCTCTATCAAGCATCAAATTTGTGATGAGGCTATCTGGAAACATCAACCAGGTCCAGAAGACCACACGAAAAGGCACTCTCGGATGAGAGAGCACTAACGCACAGCACTCACAGTACTGGGCACGCTTGTAAGCGTTTAACATGTATTAACTCATTTACTCCTCAAACAACAGCATACAGTAGGTATATCCTATTATTATCACCCATTTTATGTAGGAGGACAGTGAGGATGGGGTTAGGTGGTGGAGTTGGAGATTCTAATCAAGGCATTCTGGCTCCAAAAAGAATATCAAAGACTTGCCCCCAGCTGTGGGCTAAGAGCTCAGATTCCCCCTGCTGTCCGCATTGTGTTCTTATCCACCTGAAGACAGCAGCTAACACTCCAGTTATCTCTGTCTGATGGGGAATAATCTACTGTTTGGCATGAAAAAGTTCAATATTTTTGAATGCAGGTTTTCATTTCTTATCCAGGATGTTAAAATGAAGTCTGCCTTCCCAGTGCTCACCCTAGAAAATGACAGCAGGTCATAGTAAAAATGGAACCATTGATCTGTTAGCTTGGAGTTGGGGTGTAAGGAGACACCCTGGAAAATGTTGGTCCGTAGGATGCTAGAGGAAGGTACGGGGGTTTTGAGCTGCAGATGAATCTTCAGCTTTATTTCCCACCTGGACCCATACACAGTAGGTCTCCTTGCCCCCCCTAGAGCCGGTAGGAGGTGATCCCTGTTTGATTTAGAAGGGAGGTGCTAACCTTCTTGTAGGCTCTCAGTTGCCAGGGTCACCTTCTACGTGACTTGGTTTACTCGAGGTTTGGTTAGGAAGAGTCCCTGGAGATGTCCATAACCCGCCCATCCTCCCTCCCCTCCATCTCCGCCTCCTCCTCTGCCCAGATGTCCTCTTGGATGAATAAGACCTTCTGGGTTCTCAGGGTTACTGCAACCATGCAAGGTCTAAAATGTATCAAATGAAGATACTTGCTGTTCCAGAAACAACGTGAGGCCAGATATAGGGCTCCCATAGAGGCTGAGGCTTGAGGCCTATATTCTCTTCTTTTTCCTGAAACTCACAGGAGGCATTCAATAAGACATTTCAACTAGTGAAAGGGGATCTTGGTCTCTCTTGACACTTGCTTGACCTTGACCCCAACCGTTTTCAACCCAACCATAAGTTTTCTCTTGACCGCTTCAGCCCAAATTACATTGCCCGGGGCGGGGCGGGGAGCCAGGAACCAAAAGAGGTCAGTATCTGCATATCTATCCATCCCTGCCCTGGCAGCAGATACTCTGTGACTTTGTGGGACTCACTGAGAATTACATCTTCTACTACATGGGATTTTGAAAGCCTGTTGCTCGGGGGCCTGGTCAGCACAATTCCCTTGCTTACACTTCACCTGGGAAATGCTCTGTCTAGAAGTGAGAAACCACGTGTTGGCAGTTCTATGTTGTACAAAAGAGGAAACACAGAGGACAGGTCCATCCTTCTTCCTGGAGCCAACACTGGATTATTTGTGGCAAAGTTCCTGCTGTGGAGTGTCCAGGCTTTTGGCTTTTCACCTTTTGAACTATTTGTATTCATTAGCATCCCACCAGCGGGGGAATCCCGAGCAGGGCGACACCCACAAGAGCCCATTCTTCTGGCGATTAACAGCCCCGCAGAAAGGAGAAAAGACTGGAATTCATGCCTACAATGAGGTTAAAAAAGTTATCCATAGGATTTCCATTCTTCCTGCTTTTTATCTGGTCCTATGGCCATAGTCACCAAGAGTTGGCTTTGTCACTTTACTTCTGTGAGTTGCAGGGAAGAAAAAGGTGTTGGTTCCTGCTCTGGCCAGATCCCACAGAGGGACTCGTGGAGTCTGACTAGGGGAATCGACTCTTTACCTTAGCAGTAAAGCTGGCACAAAGACACTGGGACATGGCAGCAGTGAGTCCAGGGGAATAAGTGGAAAATTCCAGGGAGACCGGGGGCCAAGGGTTGGACCGTGGCAGGGCAGCGTCAGAGACAGAAATATGAGACTCTGGGCAGTGACAAAATAAATTGTTTTAATGGGAGGCTTTCTGAAAGAGCAACTTTTTCTTGTGCTATCAAACAGCCAGTTTCCCTGCCTTGGACTCTCTTGGGGGGTGCACTGGCTGAACCCCTAGCCCCACCGGAAGCTAGGATGTTACTCTGACACTATGTTCAGTCCCTCCAGGGATCTGGAAGTGTGTCTTAACATCAGGAAGTTGGAGTTCACTGGCAATCAGTCCAAAATATGCAGTCCCTGTGTGTGTCCAGGCCTGAGGGTAAGGGCTTCATTTCTGACTTAGGATATTTCTCCATGGGGAGAGAGAAAAGAGGCAAATCACGTGGAAAATTCAACTCTGACCTTTACAAAGAAAACTAATAGACACTTTAGTATTATATACAGGGCAGAGGGGAGAGGAAGTGGGGGGAAAATTGCACTTAATTACAGTAGTTTATAGTTTACACCCATTGGACAAATTTACTTCTTTAAAAGAATTCTCAAGATCAGTTAGGATGGGGGTGGGGGAGGGAGTTTGCTGATATTTACACTGTGTTTGGCTCAGTTCAATAGCACGTGTCCTCCTCTCCTCATTTCAGTAACAGATTCAAGTTTTCACATGTTTGTTCGACGAAGGAGCATAATGTAGACACTACAGCTTTCGCTCTTCCTCTTCCGTGGTTTCTTGTCTCCCATCTGCAGGATGGATGGGAATACTTTACATCTTGGGAGAGGCATCGAGACAATACTGCATAGAAGGGAAGCTGGGCTTTGGGCTGCGCCTCCCGAGAGCGGATTGTCCGAGGCGCCAGCAGGATGTCAGGTAAGCAGGGACCTCTTGTAGGTGATGTCAGGTCACTGGGTTTTTCCATGACAGCTGCCCAGAGGGTGATGGTGTGGAAAATAGGGTCCTTGTTGCTGTGCACAAAGTAAGTGATGTGCGGGCATCACCAGGCTTGGAGAGGACACTGCAAAGAGAAAAGAGAGAGAGCTCAGCTGTGTGCATTTGGCAGGGACATGGGCTACTAGTTTGGCTTCTCCAGGGGGAGCCGAGACCCAGCTCAGCTGGGGGGCTGGGGACCTAGCACCTGCTCAGGTCTGCAGTGTTGCTCATGAAGCATATTCGCATTAGCAATACCTGGGAGCTGGCTTTTCCTGCCGCTTCAGAACAGAGAAGCGAATTGCTACAGACCTTGAAATAGTCATAATTTGCCGACCTTTATCCTGAAGTTGGGCTGCTCTTTCTGTGCGTGTGGTGTTTATAAAGTGCTCAGGGAGGCTGCAACGGCAGCTGACGGGAGCTCTTGCCTCCTGTGGAAGTAAGGGTCTCTTCCTAAGACCTCTAAGAGGTGGGGTCCCCTAGACCACTGCTTCCCAAACTTCAATTGACCTATGAGTACCAGAGATCCTGTTAAAATGTAGATTCGGATTCGGTCGGCCTAAGAATCTGCATTTCTAGTCAGCTCCCAGGTTGTGCTGAAGCTGCTGATGGACTTGGAGCCTCAAGGCCACAAAGCACGTGAGAAACCACCACTTACTCAAATGCCGCCTCAGGGAACGCGCTTGGGAACTGCAAAGGGCTTTCTACAGCGGTGTTACTGTTAGGGCAAGACACTCAGAGGACAGGGGAGAAGATCCAAGGGCTGAAGGCCTCTGATGCCAGACTTGCAGGTGGGCCAAGGGCAGGAGACCCCAAAAGGGATGGAGAAACCCTGTGGGAGGAGCCCCACCACCCAGCCCAGAGAGACCTCCCCTTCCAGGGCGCGGGGCCTCGTTCATTTCAGTGTCGTGGAGCATTACTCTACTTTTCCTTCCAGGAGTATCTTTTTGATTCCCTCTGTCTCCTCCCTCCCTCCCTTTTACTTCTGCTGGCATCTCAGGAGAAGGTTCTGCCTTTTGGCTTAATGGCTTATTCTCTCAAGACTCCCCCTCAAGGACACACACACACACACACACACACACACACACAGACACCTACCACTGATACTAAAGCCCTATTATCCCATTACTATTTCCCAAGCATAACTCTATATAAGGTTCCCATTATGTCCATTTTACAGATTAGGGAAACAAGGCTCTAAGAGAGTCAGTGAATTGTCCAAGGTTTCAGAACTAGGAGTGTGTGGAGCCAGAGACTCAAACCAGCTCTGGGGACCTGCCAGCACACATTCTTTCCGTTATGCTCTTAGGTTAAGAGTCTTCTTCCAGCTTTGTACTCTTGGTCGTGTTCTCTCTCTGGGCCTCAGTTTCTCACCTGTAGGATGGAGGCTGTTGAGGGATTAGATGAGCTGATACATTACGCGGTTAGCATGGTGCCTGGCATTATTGTCCTGATGAACACTGGGACACAGCTGCCTCTGTCCCCGCCACCCTCCTGAGCACTCTTCAGAGTGGGATGCAGCTGTGCATTCGTGTGAGGAGACAGGCTTCTGGCCCTTTTAAATTTGTGAGTCCCGGTCAGGGTCCTCTGATACCCTTTGCCTCCTCTTCCTCCCTCCCCCCGCCCCCACTCTGGAGTCTCTTTACTTCCCACTATCAGCCTTTCTCCAATTTTCAGATTTCAGGTGGAAGAGAGAGAAAATGGCTTGTGACCTTGCAGGTTTCAATAGAAGAGCAAACAAGAAGGGCAGATAAGGAGACGCCAGCGGGATCCTATGACCTGTCATTAGGGATGGGCTTCCTAGCTATCAAATGTTTGCTCACATAATAAAATGGTGGCAGAGCCCTAAATGTTGTCAAAGGAACTAGAGTTATTTGCCCCCTCCAGAGTCTAAACACAAACATCTGATAAGGGGTGCACTGTGGCCCCTTAGAACCGAGGCCTGGTGCACCCAGCCACAGGGCCTCGCCCAGAGGATTCCTGCGTGACCACAGGGCCCTCCGTGTGGAAGGGGTGGTAGCTGTGGTGATTGCTAAGGACATCCTCATTCTAAGAGGATTTGTTACATAATGGTCATAGGGAACACTTATTGAGGTCCTCCTGTGTGCCAGGCCCATGCTAACTAAGGGCTTTACACACATGATTGCATCGAATTCTTATATCAGCCCTTTGAGGTAGGTAATTATCATTCATTTATTTAACATATTTTTGAGTGTCTTCTATGTGCTTAGCACTTCTTTAGGCACTGTGGATGTAGCTGCGAGCAAGACCCTGTCCACATCCTGACAGAGTTTATAATTTAGTGAGGGTTTTGAACAATAAATAAGTTTTAAAAAAAAGCATATATATATATATATATATATACACACACACACACACACACATACATATATAATACAATTTTAAGTAGAGATGAATAATCTAGAAAAATAAGCATGGTAAGAGGTTAGGGTGACTTGAGGGTAAAGGGAATCATTTAGGGAGGGGGATCGAGAGGTGATCCCCCACTCTTTGAAGTGGTGACATTTGAGTTGAATGAAGTGAGGGAGCAAGCATGCAAAGATGTGCAGTGAGGAGCGTTCCAGGCGGAAGACACCACAAATGCGGAAGTCCTGAAGTGGGATCACAGCAGCTCTAGTTCGGCTGAAGCCTAGCGCAAGAGGGAAGAGGGGAAGGCGTGAGAATGGTGGGGCCGGCAGTGGTCTGATCACCCGGCGCCTTGGACGTCTCCATTTCAGTTTGGTGAAATGCGGAGCTGTTGGAGAGTTTTGACAGGGGAGTGACATGATTGGTTTCCCTTTTTAAGAGATCACTCTGGCTGCCGAGTGCTGAACAGACCATATACCCACTGTAGTGGGGCAAGAGTGGAAGTGGGGGTGGGAAGGTAGGGGCCACTGCAGGAGATCAGTGAGAGGCGAGGGGCTGGACTGATGGGGTGGTGAGAAGCGGTCAGACTGAGGGTGCATTTTGAAGGACCCCTAGCAGAACTTATCGATGGGCTGGATGTGGGATATGGGGTGTGTAATGATCAAGGGTCCTCTCAGGTGTCTCGCCTGAATAACTGGCCCCATTTTTGGAAGTGGAGAAGCTCAAGGAGGAACCTATTTGGGTAGGGAGATATTGGGGCAAAATGAAGAGTTCCTGTTTAGGCAGGTTCAATTTGAGAGGCTTATCAGGTATATTAGACATGCACATGTACATGCCAAAGATGCACGGGATTTGCAAATGGCACCTTGTGACTGGGGAGAGGTCTGTACTGGAGACATAATTAGAGGATCCATTAGTGTGTACACTTGATCCAAAGCCATGGGATTGGAGGCGATCACCCAGGAGTGAGCACAGAAGAGAATGAGCCCCAGGGCCTCCAACAAGTAAATGTCGGGAAGATGAGTTGCTAGCTAAGGAAATGAGGAGTGGTCAGTGCCATGGGAGGAGAACGAGGATGGGGCAATGTCCTAAAATCCAGATGGAAAAGGGGAGGTGTGATCAGCTGTGTCAGAGAGAGAGATGGAAAAGCAACCATTGCATTTGGCAACATGGAGGTAGAGTGAGCGGGACAAGAAAGGTTTCAGTGGAGTGTGAGGACAAAAACCAGCCTGGAGAGGTCTCCAGAGAGAATTGGGGGTGAGGAAGTGGGAGTATAGATAACCCACTTCTATTATTATTAACTTAAGCTAGACTAATTATAGTTCTATTAATCAAAAGTAATGATTATAATTCCAATTTTACAGATGAGGAAACTGAGGCTAGAGAGATCATAAGTAACTTGCCAGGGTCTCACAACAGAAAAGCCTGTGCTCTTAAACACTATGTAAGATCACTTCTATCCTCTGAATGGGGCAACAGGGGGAAATAAATGAACTTTGCCATCTGAAATCCTCCTTCCCAAGCTCAAGGGACACTCAGGGGTGCCATCAGGGAGAGCCAAGATTGAGCCGGCTGCCATGGCCTGGATGTTTCCAGCCAAGAACTGAGCTGTGTTTTACGAGTCTCAGTGAATTTAGTTCTTTCAACCATCCCACAACAGAGGAATCATTATCTTCATATTACAGGTGAGGAAACTGAAGTTCAGAGAGGCTAAGACTTTTCCCTGAGGTCACACAGGGAGAAAGTGGTAGAACCCTGAGCCCAGGTCTGCCTAACTCCCAAGTCGGTGCTCTTAGTCATCAGACCACACCGCCTCTCCACCAGCGAAGAAGGCAGGGAGGAGGGGAGCAGCTGCAGGGGATTTATGACAAAGCCGCCCACCTCCTTCTTGTCAGCACCCTTGACTAGTGACCGCTCTAGGGGCCCTCTCCTGACCTCTCTATAAACTGGGAAGCGGAGCAGTGGGTAGAGAAGGTGTGGAAATAGCATCAGCTCACAGCCTGCCCACACTTGTTCTAACAGAGGTCAGTGCTAGTGGCACTCTGGTTTCCAGATTGGCAGGCTGTGTTCTGCAGGAGCTCAGGCACAGACCCACTCAGAGGGTAACCGGCCAGCTCCCAAGGTTGATGAGGGGGAGGCACTAGCTCTGGAAACGACAGACGGGAGTGGCTGCAGAAGGATTCCCAACCAGAAAGTCCCATCCTGGGGTCCCTGAAACCTGATCCACAAGCCCCTGGGGCATGTCTGTCTTGACAACCAGAAATGCTGGGATCAGACAGATACAAGTTCAAATCCTGGCTTTCGCCTGATTTAACCTTGGGTCATTTCTATGAGTGTTTAAACATGGATATTAGAAGGTGAGTGTTGTTTAATGAATTTGGAGAAGATCTAAGGCTGGAAATCCAAACCAGATTTGTCATCCGTGTGAACTTGGCCAGATCCCTCCCATCTCTGAACCTCAGTTTTTCGCTCTGTAAATCAGGCATAAAAATATCTACCTTGCTTGCAGGATGGGTGGGAGGGTTAGCCAGGAAAGATAAGATGGAAAAGCACCCTGGAGGGAACGCAGCTTGGCAAATGGGAGGCGCTCAAAACACGTTAGTTCTGAATTCATTCATTCATTCATTCCTATTTACTGACATCTACTATAGCCCAGGCATTTGGCTAGGCACCAAGGGCTTGGGTGCTTTGAGAGGCCGCTGAACTATTTGCTTTTTTCCTGGGAGGTGGGTGAGAGGATGGTTGTGTGTCAGCAGGAGAACGGGAAGCAGTGATCTGGAGCCCAGGCCCAAGAGGCGGGATGCCCTTCAGAATCAGCCCTAATCCTGAGCACTTTTATTGGCAGAACCTCCTTTGACCACGTGCAGACCAAGCACTGAGTTACAGATGGCAGGTGTCGATGGAAGGCGTCTCCTAAAGGATCACAGACAGAGAGGAGAAGGAACAGGGCGGGAGCTCCCACTTTGAGTCCTTGACTGTGCACCAGGCACTCTCTTAGGGACTTTGAATATCCTTTGCAATGGGGTTGGGATTTCCACCCCCACCCCTTCCTGTTTACAGATGAAGAAACTGAGTCTCAGAGCAGCAAATTAATTGTCCAAGGTCACGTAGCAGGGGTGAGGGAGCTGGGATTAGCTCAGGTCTGTTGGCTTTTCCTAGCACTCTACCATGCCTCGAAAGTGGCAAAGGCTCAGGATGGGTCCCTCTGACCCAGTCGTGCACGCTAATGGACCTGTTCAACGCGCATATCAGCATGGGAAAGATTCCAAGAAGCCCTGCCCTGTGGGGTTTTCGTTTAATCCAGTCGTTTTCCCAACACATTTGATCAAGGAATCCGCCTCTCCTCACACCCAGGTGCCCCTGATTCCCAGCAATGGCCTTGAAACTCCTTTTGGAAAATAATACTGTAAAACAAAGAAAAAGCAGAATTGCCACCAGGTCTCTTTCGGAACTCTCTTCTGACCCTATGCCTTCAGAACAGAGTTTGTAAAAATTTTCTTCCCCTTGGGCTCCTTCTGCCATCAGCAGGCAGCACCTTTGCCCTCATTTTACTTCATTCTGCCTCTCCCAGTTGGTAGGAAGAAAGTTTCCTAATGGGAATACAGTATCTGGGCTTAATTTTTACTCTTGTTCCTGACCGTTAAAGACCACAAGATCAGTGATTACATGGGTATTTTAAAGATGGGTGTTGGAAGGCACTGGAAATAGTCCAGGATTTAGAGTCAAAGACCAAAGTCTGGAGGTCCAGCTTTAGAATTTATCATCTGTGTGGCCTTGGGCAGGTCACTCTCCATCTCTGAGTCTCAGTTCATTTCTTTGTATTTCTCGGGAGGTTTCAATAAAAAGGAAATGATGAGATAATGTTCATGAGAAGAATAAACTGTAAAGTGCTACATGGAAATTTTTATCCATACTAAGCGTAATCATCATCCTCATCATCCCAGAAATGAATCTATCGGCAGACTCCTGAAATGTCCAGGGACTTGAGACAACTTCACAGTAGTTCTAGAGTGCCGTTCATGCAGCTTCAAGGTCGGCTGGCCACTCTGTCCAGTGGAGGGGAGCAGCCATCTGGGGGCCAGGGCAGCGTCTCAGAGAGCATCTTGAACTATTTTGATTAAGAGACCATTTCCTGAATTCAGAGGACTTGTTTCAACAAGCAAGCATCAAAGTCAACTTGGGAAAGACAGGAATAATTAATCACAGTCCTGTCTAGGGCTGGCCAAGCGGCAGATGGATTGATAAACCTTTCAAAGGGGAAGGTATTCCCAAGCGGGGCTGCTGCGCCTGGCTGCCCCCCTGATTGAGATTTGTGAGCACAGATAAATGTTTTCCCTCCTCACTACAAAGAATGGGAAATCGCACGGGAGTCGAAGGGCAGGGCAACCAGGGTGCCCTTTCATCTTCCATGGGGTGAGAGAAGAGGAGCAAAGCAGGTCCCACACACCTCTCCCTCTCCCCCAACTCCAGAGCCTGGCCACCTCGGTAGTGTGTGTGTGTGTGTGTCAGAGCCCAAGACGTGCCAGGCACCTAATCTACATGATCTCATCGAATCTTCAGAGCAAGTAGATGTTACAACTCTCACTTTAAAGATGAAGAAATGAAGGCTCAGGGAGGTCAAGGTCACCAAACAAGTGGCAAAACCAGGAAGAGAACCTGCCTGCTTCACAACGCTGCAGGAGTAGAGGAGAGGGGGGCAAAGGAAAGGACAGAGAACCCCAAGCCCATGAAAGACCTTGCTCGGAAGCACATGGCAGGGGGTGAGGTGTGACGAGGTGTGATTTGCAGGGCTCAGGTGGAAAAAAGACAATTAACAAGACCAAACTCTGCTGAGAGCCCCTGACATGAAGTTCAAGGTTGTCGCCTAGTTATCAAGTAATCAATAAAGGCCAAACAGTTCCCACGCTTCACGGACCCCAGCTGCTAAAAGGTCCTATTGTGTTATTCTGTGTGTCACCTGTGTTCAGACATCTTGTCCTGTTTTCTAACTTTTGGTGTCCCATTACAGTCCAGCTGTCCAAGCTCAGCCAGGAGCCTCGCCACTGGTCGTCTTTACTATTCCATCACCTCTGTGTCAAGGTGGGAATTAGTCATCAGCTGAAATGGTGACTAAGCCTCTGGATTCCCCACCTTCAGTGCAGTCAGAAGTTGATTCTAAGTTTCCCAATAAAACACCAAGTGAATGCAGGCCCCTGGAAAGGCCAGGCTGTCTACCGGGGAGTCCCCAAGGGTTGGTAGATTTGGGTCATCCTCTGAAGTTTACAGCGTTTTGGGTCCAGCATGGGTCCTGGACTGGGGTAATCAGCCTCAGGACCCCTGACTCACTACTCACTTTCTCCATTGATTAATTTGTGGAAAATCCTCAGGGGTTCCTCTTGTAAGGCATGAAACTCTGGGACGCTGGGGGAGCAACAAACCTCTTTAGCCTGTGGCCCATGTCCTTTGCCCTGTGACCTCAAGGATTCCTTTATCGAGGAACAGGGTGCCTCACAAGGACCAGACTTATGGCCGAGTCTACACTTGCCACATTCTCCGCACATCAATAGCCTTAGTCATTACCCTCCTCCCTCCTACTGGCATTACCTGTTTACTGGAAGACATGTTGGTGAGCGTACTGATGCTGCTGGTATCTGTGACTACCATCGCAGATGGAAACCGGGAGGTGTGGGAATACTGGGGGGGTTCCTGCTTGTGTGTGTACACTAGAAAGACAGAGTGAAGACAAAATCAAGGCAAGATGACACAGGCATACGCACAGCTACAAACCCCCCACCCACATCATAGCTCCTGTTTCCCTGGGCAGATAAAAGGGGATGGTGAGGGCTGACCCCTTGGCCTAGTGGTTAAATTTGGCACACTCCGCTTTGGTGGCCTGGGTTTGTGGGTTTGGACCCCGGGCACAGATCGACACCACTTGTCAGCCATGCTGTGTCAATGACCCACATAAAAAATTGAGGAAGACTTGCATGGACGTTAGATCAGAGCTAATCTCCCTCAAGCAAAAAAAAGAGGAAGATTGGCAACAGGTGTTAGCTCAGGGTGAATCTTCCTCAGCAAAAAAAAAAAAAAAAAAAAGCATGTTGATGGTTGCACTAATGTTTGGGAAGGTAGTGTGATGTGGTAAAAAGAATGACCATGTGTTTAAATTCTGGCTCCTTAATCAAGTTACTTAACCTCAGTTTTCTCACCTGTAAAATGGGAATGATATCTGCTGTAGGATTAGAAGAGATCATGTTTAAAGCGTTTTGTACCAAATAAATAAACAGCTCTGCACAGTGCCTAGTATGTAGTGGTGGACAGCACTTCTGTTCCCTTGACTTTCAATAAAGTGTTAGATGCCTGGGCATCAATAGGTAACCCTTAGGCATATGTGGTACTTCTGAGATTTTAAGTCAAAAAAAGTTTTAAATAGCTGGCAAATATGAATGAGCTGGCCAGCACATGCTTACCATTTCTGCCATCACTCAAGCACTGGGTCTCATGCTAGCGATTGTAGATTGATTAATAATTGTAATTAGACACAGGTATAATTAATTGTAGCATTCTGAGCTGTTCTGGTTTGCACTAAAATGACATCATAGCCTTATGACATCACAGAAATATGAAGGACAATGGACAAAGGGAGACTAGATTCAAACAGAACCTCCTGGAGTATGTGACTTGTTTTTTAGTTTTTTCCAGTACTTGTCCACCAAGTCTGGAACCTTTTGACTCATGTTATTTATCCATAAGATTCATATAAATTCTCGGTCACATGACCAAGGAATGAAAGCATGTGGATACTTGGTCTTGAGGGAGGGACCAGCCTGTTTGCACCAAGGAGTCCCTGGGGGGGAAGGGGGGTGAAGGTCACGGCCTGCTGCCTCAGCTTGCCCCTCCTGTGTAGGGAGGCTGGTTATTTCCTGGTCTGGGGCCCCGTGGGCCATCTCTTTGTAGCCAGCCAGCCCAGCTGGGCCTCAGCAGTCCACAAGTCTCTGGTGACCACTCTCTGACCGTCCCTCTCAGGCTTGGCCACTGAGGAAGGCTGCCCAGGTGAGGGGGCACATGGGGGGCATATTGTCAGGCCCCAGGAGGAAGGGAAGTGGAGCACATGTGGTCCCTGACTCTGCTACACGCTGTGGCAGATATTTTAGAAGCCACGAAAATGTGATTGGAATGTGAGATGGTGCTTAGAAACCAGCTCTGCAGGCCTGAGAGGGGATAGACAGAGCCCCAGGACAGAAGAAGGCTGAACTTGACTGTTCTCCCTCCTAGCCACAGCTCTGCCCGAGGCAGCCAGGAGAAACCAACATCCTCTTCTCCGTTCCTGCCTCCTCCTGTTAAGGCGTCCCTTAATAAGTAGTCATTAGCCTTTCTATACCTCTTTACCTTACCAGATACAGTTCATACCTATTTTTATCTCATCTCCATAATCACTCTACATGCACATTATTTCCATTTTATAGATGAAGAAATTGAGGCTCAGAGTGGCTAAGGAACTTACCAATGGCTACATAGCTGGTAAGTCTCAGAGCTAGGGTTTAAATCTAGGTCTGTCTGACTCCGAGACTATCATTCTATTCCAGAGACTTCTCTGGTGTTCCTGTAGGACCGTGCCTGAAGTGGGGAAGCCATTCTTTCCATGATTTCTCCCCAAACACGTAGGCCAGGGGCTATAGCCTGACATAGCCAGAAGACTGGGGGCCTGGGGCTCAGGATGGGGATCAGAGATATAGGGGCTGGGGGACAGATGGGCTGTAAGTGGCTGAAAGATAGACTGAAGGTAGGTGTAGAAATTGGACATGAGAAATAGTCTCTGTGTCGGGGGCAGAAACGCTAATATTCCTTATCCAGGATGACGTGCAGGTGGTATTTTCCAGCTTGAAATGTTCATGGTTCTTGATTAGAGATATTTGGGGTGTATAAATTGGAGGGCATGGGGACTCTAGAGGATTCTTCAATTTCAGAGAAGGCAAATAGGATGCAAATTATACACCAGCTCTGATTATTTGGTAATGGCTGCTTGGAATTTTGGACTGAAAAGGCTAAGTTGAGGAGTATTGGGCAAAGGTGCTGTGATTGACTGGTGGAAGGTGGCAGGGGGACTGTGGCATGTGCTCCATCTATATGCTACTCCAGCTTTCTCTGCAAACCCCCTTTCCATGTAGGCCATAACTGTCCTCTTCAAACCTTCCCTGGGGAATCTTGAGGGCAGAGCAGAGGCCTCGAAAAGGCACGGCACTGCACAACAGTTATGTGTGACAGATTGTCTTGGCTGATCAGAGGTAGGGAAAAGCATCCAAACCAATAAACTTCCAAGAAGAGAGGGAAGAGGTTGGCTGCCGAGGGCCCTTCGTGCTCCCTCCCTATCATGCCCGGGTCCTTACTGTGTGAATTCTGCAGCTGAGTCACTGCGGCCATGAAGGGCTGCTGTGCCATGTGGCTGCCCGGGCTCTGCTGCATGAGGGGCTGCTGGTGAGGGCTGTGCAGCGGCTGGGAGAACTGGACGGGCTGCAGGGCTGCCAGGCTGCCGGCCACACTGTTGATGACAGGGACGCTCTGTGCTTGGGAGGTGTTGAGGCCTGTGGGAGCAAGAGGGAAAGATCAGAGATGGCTTCAGGGATGAGGAGAGGTGAATGGATGGCAATGGTCATCGACTGAGCCTCTGCTGTGTGCCAGGCACTGGGCTGAGGCTGTTACGTAAGAGGTTGCACGGGAAGCAACTTTATAGACAAAGACACTGAAGCTCGGAGAGAATAAGTGGCTTGCTCAAGTTCCACAGTGAGTTGTGGATGGAAACAGGCTTTAAATAGATCTGACTGAGGCCTAAGAGTCTCCCAAGGTCATCCTGTGACCTCCTGAAACTTAGCTCCCTTGAGGTTGCCAAGGCCCTGGGAAAGGTGAGGCTGCTTGCCCCCTCCATCCATGCCTGACCATGAGAGAGGCTTGCCCGGTGTCCTCAGCGCAGGGTTAAAGGCGTCCACTCAAAAGTGCAGATTATTGCCTGGATCTGTCTGTCCAGCAGAGGGCAGGAGTGTGCAGGGACCCACATTCTGATAAAAAACCAAACCCCGCTCCACTCTCCTGGGAGTCTGAAGCCTGAAGACCCTCATCTAGCAGACTGTGCAAAGCCCCTGAGGGAGGTCAGGTGCTCATTCTCTTGACAGGAGCAGAGAGGGGAAAAAACACTGGCACTCAGCCAGTCCATGAAGTGGGCATATCTTATCTGGCAGCACGGGGCTTATGACATCAAAAGGACCAGGTATTGGAAGGAGGAAGTAGTAAGTTAAAGGTTGGCAGTTATAGTGGGTCTTGCTATCTTTCTGTTCTGGGGGTATGAGGGCCTCTGTGGATCTGTACTGTGTCTGTATCCTGAGGCCTCTTTAGAACTGGGGCCAGCACTGCAAAGATTAGGTCCCTGATACCCGCCCTCTCTCTGCTCCTTGGGTGGGACTCCGCAGAAGGCAGCGGAGGCAGGGTGGCAGTGGGGACAAGAGGTTCAGGGGGAAGACACCCCAGCCTCTTTCCTGGAGCCCCCAATATTCCTTTGCCTTTGTTGCTGGGAAGTGGCAGGGGGAGGATGAGATGAAGAAGGAAATCCAGAAAAAGGTCTCTTTTAGGCAAATGTAGAGGGGGCACCTAGAGAGCCTTTCCTGAAACGGAGAGGGTTTCATAAGCAGACCCAAGGGAGGTCCTTGATGGAGATAGCGCAATGTCCTCAACAATTGCCTACTTACAGCTTTAGCTGAGACCTTTATCAGAAACCAAAAAGGCAAGATCCCAGGGCAGAAGTGAAGGGAAAGAAGCCCCCTCCTGGGTGGGGTTGGGGGGCGGGGTCCTCTGATCACCCTCAGAATAGCACTATGACCAATTCCCCAGGGGCTCAGGGTTTCCCCAAGCCCATCTGAACCCTGATATCCTGTTTCCCTTTCCTACCTCCTACTTATGGTCTCAGTCTCCTAGGAAGCCTCGTGGATTTGCTATTTTCCCTGGAGCCCATTGAAATTGACCTTTTTGGGAAATCTCTGCCCAGAAAAGCAAATTATCCTGTCTAGAGTGGATGACATTTGAGGACATAGCTCTGAAACCTGCCTGCGCTTTAGAATCATCTAGGGGAGCTCTTTAGGAAATATACATTCCTAGGCCCCACCCAAGACTTAATGAGTCAGACCCTTTAGAGGTGAGGCCCAGGAATCTTATTTTCAACAGTCTGTGACCCTGGTGTGCCTCAATTCCAGGATCAAGAGCCACTGATGTCATTCTAGCTCCCATGGAGTGTGACTCTTGGCCTTTTCATCCATTTTCTGGGCACTGGTTCCTGCTTAAGAAGCATGTTATCCAGTCCAGTAGATGAGTAGAGAATGAGGAATTGGCATGGCCAAATAAGTTGTTATCACATTCTCCATGGGCGCCTGCAGTCCTGAGACAGGGCCCATGGACTTAACAGGACATGAGTCGGCTAAATGAAGATGCCTGCAACCAATTCTTCATCCTGGCCCTCCATAGGGTAGGACCACTGTGTCTCAGCCAAGCTTTCTGGTGATCTTCACCATTCTTCATGCTCCCCCTACTCCAAGTACACATACACGTGCATGCGCACGAACTTACACATGCACACACACAAACACACCCTTCTAAGGTCAATGTACACTCTGGTATTGACCATCTGCAGTAGGAGATTAAGATTATTGTGAGAAGGTAGAGAAATATGGGTGGAAGAAATTAGAAAGAACAAAATTGAAAAATATGGAATAGCCCCAGGGAAAATTTTAGTTCAGATAGTGCCCAAGACAATATACAACTGTGTGTGTCAGCCAAAGCTTGACGTGGGAAGAAAGAAGTTAAGTGGGACAGTTCGTGTGTCATTTTGGTTGTAGAAATAAAGAGGTGGGATATTTTACAAATGGGCCTTTTAATCAAATCTTCTAGAAGGCAAGCAAGCTGCTTTCAGGTATCCTATCTCATTCTCAAACGTTGGGATGACTATGGTTACCATATTCCTGGAGAGGGCCCAGTGAAAAGGCAGTAAATTTAAAATAACTTTTAATTTTGCGAATCCTCTAAAATTTTCTCCATTTCCATTTCCCTCTGCAAAAATAAGTGCGGATTGCATCAATTTCTGAACAGCTAGGGAGAGAGTGAGAGCCACACATACTCGTTCAGTAAACCTTTGTGCCTCTTATGGGCTTAGCCCTATTTTGCCCTCAAAGAGTGCCTAAGTCCTTCTTTTCAGAAGTGATCCAAATTGCTACCCTGGCTAGAGCTGATTTAGGGGGAGAGGGAGGAAGGAGAAGAAAAGGCAGGAACAAAACAAGGAGGCAGTCAACATGGGCACTCAATAGCAGGGAGGCCACGAGGACAATGGGCAATCCCAGCTTGAAAGAAAGATGAGCAACGTGCCACCCTTGGATCTCTCCCGAGACTTCCCAGGAATACTTTCTGGGGCCACAGTGAAGACTTGGCCTGAGCTGTCATGATGAAGCTCAAAATATGCCGAATACTCATCAACATTAAAACTTGGAGAGGGGCATCTACAGACACAGCCCATGCTAGTCTTCCCATGCCCAGAAATGGCCCATCTGTGACGAGGCACAGGCTCGCTGTGGAACACGGACCTCTTGGAGCTGGAAGGACCTGCTCCAGCTCCCCATCTTCAGGCATGGGCATACACAACTTAACTCTCCTTAAAGTTGTCATGACTCAGAGATGCTATGACAGTTTCCTTCAGAGTTCCCTCTTAGTGTGTTTTCACCACTGGCCAGGCAGGTCTCGTATAACCACACAAAACTCCCCCTTTAGAGGGAAGCCCATCATGTCTTGCTCCATCTTCACCAAAGAAACATTAGTGCAACCTCCTGGGAAATCTCCACATACTTAGGGATAGAAATTGAACTCTGGATGAAAGTGTAAGCTACAATATTCTACACGCTCATGCTTCATAGATTTACAAGGATGTCTCTACACAGTCATGTGACCGCCTCAGCAACCCATTTACAGATGAGGAAATTGAACCTCATGAAGGTTCAACGATTTGACCCAGGGTGCACAGTTGGTAAGCGGTGACCTAGATTCAACTCCACTCCACAATTTTCTCTTGTTTTTGGCTAAACCATCCAAATTTGTTGAGGAGAGAGATAAGGAACTAAAAAAGTTGAATCAAATCTACAACTGCTGGGTGAGTTTGAAGGGGGTCTTCTTTAGTCCTTTTTGTGTCATGTTGACTCACTTCCCATTCTTATCCTCCTTGCCCACAAGTTTACTGACCAAGAAGAGAGCTTACTTTGTGCAATGGCCATGACTCCAGAGAGGGGGGTCATGATGAGGTTTTGAGATTGCTGGGGATTATGGTGGGACAGGCTGTGGATATTCGTCAAGGTGCTGACGGGGGGCAAACCTCCTCCTGAGACTGAGATCTGCTGGAGAGAAAACACAAGAGCAGCATGAGCAGAATTGGGGACCACCAAGAGCAGTGTCCAAAATGACATGATTGAGCACCGCTAATTCACAGATTCATTCATTCATTCACTCAGTAACAATTATTAGGCACCTATGTGGGAAAGACACTGTTCTAGTTGGGGAGGATAGAGTAGGAAGTAAAACAGACAATAATCCCTTTCCTCATGGCGCTTCTCTTTGCTGACCATCTGAGTTACTTGCCTGCCTCAGAGGTTCCCTGCTCATGTGTATCATATGATTGTCGCTTGCTCACTTTGGAAGTACCCTCTGTTTTGCCCTGTGCCTTCTATATTATTGGTGCTAAGACAATTGATTGCTAAGAATATTAACGAAACAAATGCCCTGGGATTCCCCAGTGTGGCAGATTAGGGACCAGGCGGAAGCCCAGGGAAGCTCTCCAGCACTCCTCATGCATTAACTCTGCCATTCCCATCTCGCTGATGAAACTACTGCAGCTCAGAGTAGATATGTACATTGCTTGAGATCCCACAACTGAGCCAGCCCTGATGGCCTAGTGGTTAAAGTTCGGCGCTTTCACCACTTCGGTGGCCTGGGTTTGTTTCTTGGTTGTGGAACCATACCACCCATCTGTCAGTTGCCATGCTGTGGCAGCAGCTCACATAGAAGAACTAGAAAGACCTACAACTAAGATACACAACCACGCACTGGGGCTTTGGGGAGAAAAAAAGAGGAAGATTGGCAACAGATGTTAGCTCAGGGTGAACCTTTCCCTGAAAAAAAAAATCCCACAACTAATAAGTGGTACCTCTGGTATTGAAACCCATGTCTGTCCGACCCTAGAACTCAAGTTCTTACCTTTAATAGAGGACTTCTCCCCACTCCAACACTTATTACTGAGAGTTGGGGGAGATCAGCCATTATTGGGCTTCTCTGCTTTTTCCAAATCCCCACTATACACTAAATTTTTGTTGTGGTTGTTAAGGAGCTGATATCATAATGACGAAGCTACTAAATAAGCCTTGGGCCCCAGGTACCCCCATTCCGTTTCACCATTATATTTTAATGTCAGATTAGTAAGAGAATCCTTTTATTGAGGATTGAATTCTTTTATTTCTTCCTAATAGTGTTTTTTCCTTATGGATTTTCTTCATTTTTCTAAGTGTCTAATGGCATCATCAGCAGATTGTGCCGATAGGGTCTTGTCCTTGCTAGTCCTAATTTGTGTACCTGTCATATTGCATGGGTTAGAACTTTCTGAATAGTATTAAACAATAACAGCTGTAATAGATGTGCTTGCTTTGATTCTGATGTTATCAGAAATGCTTCCAGTGTTTCCCCATAAATCCAAAGCAACTATCAGTTTTACACACACACACTTACTTGTTTTCATGACAAAGTGGTTTACTATTTATAGTTTTTAAATAATTTTAAAAATTATTATTAAGAAAGCACATCTCCCTCATTCTGACCTAAGCCAGACCTTCCTGATGGCATCAGGGACCCTGAGAGGTACTTTAGGGTTAGGATACATGCTCTGGATGGCTGAGTAGTCCAGGTTCTCTTCTTCCATTTCTCATAACTCAGAGCTTCTCAGATTGTAGGTCTCACACCAGCACTCAGGTAAGACACTATCTCCCGCCCTGCCCTTCTGGTCAACCCCATAGCTTCCAAGGTTAATTTGAAAAAAAAAAAAAAAAGGAAAGAAAAAACCAAACAGGTTTGTTTGTGTTTTTAAAATGAGCATCAAGAAATGAGTTAGGGGTCACGTGACCAAGAAGGAATTCTGACCACATCAAACAAGAGGGAACCAGCCTGTTTGCCAGACTTGTTTTTCAAAATGTCAGAGTCATAAAAAAAAAAAAATCAGTAACCTGCCTTCAACTTCCCTTGGGTTATGTTGTCCTTTGGAGAAAGTCAAGAAGTGACAGTAATCTCTGCCATTTCAATGTTTGGTTTTAATGGTAAAGTAGAAACGTGGATGCCAATGATAAAAGCAATGTAAATGTGTACAGCTTCGGGTCGGTGAAATGCTTTCACCAACTGTCCTCAATAGATAATGACACAAATAGGGAGGGCATTATTAACATTGCCCCTATGTGACGGATTAAGAAACTGATCCTCAGAAGAGTTGAGAGACTAGCTCCATGCCACTTGACTAGTAAGTGAGGAAGACAGAATTCAAACCCAGTTTTGCTGGAGGTTAAATCTTATCCACTTACCATGTTTGGGTAACCTTGGTCAAGTTCCTTCTCACTCTAAAGTACAACCATTATTTTCTCTTTGCCTCCAGGACTGATGGGAGCCAGGGAGCTGCCAAGGATATCAGTCAGGATTCTGACATGATAATTTGGAGATCTTGACTTATGTGAATGCTGCCATTTGCAGGTCTTTCACTACGCTAAATGCTTTACGTGCCTGGAACCTATGAGGTTAGTATTATTATCCCTACTTTGAAGACAAGGAGACTGACGTTTAGAGAAGTTAAGAAATGTGCCCAGGTCGTAGAGTTGGCATTGAAAGTGGGCTATTTGTCTCCAAAGCCTGAGCTTTCCACCATTAGACCATACTGCTTGATACTGTGGAAGTATCCAGGACAAGCTTTTTTAAAAAACAAGGTTCAACACTCACAGTTTGCAACCCTAAACCTGGCCAGTTCTTTGTCAGTGTGTGCCATTTGGGCATGCGGTAGGGGACAGACAGAGAATGCAAAAGAAGGTTCAAATGGATCAGCATTATTTCTAAAACCAATCCCTGGGGGAAGATTTCAAATGCATGTCCTACTGAAAGTCAGCACACAGAGATTGTCATTCCTTACATGGCCTACCCAAAGAACAGCTGAGCCACAAGCAATCCTCACATCAACTCCATGACGCAGGCATTATTATCCCCTACTTTACAGATGAGGAAACTGAAATTAAGCAATGTCCATCCTATTTGCTGATAAATAACACAGTCCAAGACTTGGACACCCTGGTTCCCTTGCAGGAGTTATTTTTAACCATATTCCACTCTTGCCGTGGTGGACCAAGATCTGTGATGGACTTGTTATATATTAACTGAAAGCAGACTCTTGAATTTGGGCACCCAGTGATAGTGACATAACATATGAGCCAGGGTGTTGGACACTAGTGAAAAGCTGGTGCCTGCAAACGAGCTTCCAGGTGTTTGCTAACGTTGAGGTGTGCTGTCTTGGTCAATCATCAACCCAATAATATACCGCACGTTGGGGCACTGCCGAGCAGAACAGGAATAAAGAAGCATGTCTGCAGGCTGCCTTTGAAGCAGCCCTGGCCTGGGCGAGGCAGCTTGCGTCTTAGGAGGAAGGGCGGGAGGGCTCAAAGGGAAACCCCAAGGACCTTCAAGCAATAGGAGCGGAGACTTGGAGGGTTCCATTCACTGAGAAGTCAAGACCTCTTCCACCAGGCTCCTTTTTCCAGGGAAACCTGGGCAATCCTTAACTCCAACTGGTTTGGGTCTCAAAGTGACCCTTAAGACCTCATAAAGATTTGTCTGTGCCTCTCACAAGGTAGCTAACAGAAACTGTTCTTTACGAAGAAGCTTAAGGGATGAAGGGAGGGCAAGGGGGCTGCAAAATGCTTCCCACAGGGGCCTTCCATCTCAGTTTGAAGAGACCACTCCCAGGTCCCCTGAAACTAGAGTTCGCCGGGCCAGCACTCCCCTCAGAAACTACACTTTGTTTTTCCTCCAGGGAGCTAGGGACTCAATCACCTGTGACTCACCATTCCTGTGTTGTCTACACAGCACATACGTCACACAGCACACAAGGTCTAAAATGGCATCTGCCCCCTGCCCCCCGCCCCTCCCCCCTGGCCCCCATGGGCCTCTGGGTCAGACACCTTGAGGGAACGTGTGCGGCTCCACCTTGAGTGTGGAAGGCAGGAACTGTGGCTCCTCCAACCCCCACCCCAAAACGCAGAGCATGACCCAAAGAATCAAGTGTTCCATTCCCTCCCCTCACTAGTGTTGTGAGGCTTGTGTTCTCTCATAGGCCGCTCTCCCCGCACTTGTGTTGCTAGAGGGTTAGAACCTTGAAAAGTCACATTCAAATAGTCTATTCCTCACCAAGTGTGCTAAACTTACATCTGGGTGTGGGCTGTGGCTATGGATAGAGAAAACCTTATTTAAAGAGAACAACACTGACATTAACATAACAACAACATTGTCATTTATTGAATATTTACTGGCCCGAACACTGTGCTGAGTAAATCATGTGTGATCAGATTTGTTCTCCCCAAAACCCTATTGTTATACTCCCACTTTATAGAGGAGAAAAAAAGAGACCTAGCATAGTTCAGTAACCTGCCCAAGGCTACACAGCTATCAAGGGCTGGAGCTCGGATCTGAACCCCGGGCATTGTAACCTTAAAGTCAGTGTTTCTCACTCACGCTGTAAGCATCACCCCACCTGCCTGCCATTTTGTGCTGAGATCTGCACTGGCGTGCCATCCAATGTCCTTCAAAACCCCAGTTCAAGAATCCTGTCGCCACCTCTCGCCATCCACTAAATCCTGACTTAACTCCTTGCCAGCACCAGGGGTGGTGGCGCAGAGAAAGAGGGGGCTTGTTTCAAAGTGAGGCGCTCTCTGGGTTGAAAAACTGGCTTTGGAGGCCTTGGGGTGGGGGGGATGAATGAACATTTTATCAACACAAATGTCATTGGCAGCCCCAAAACAAACAGTGTCCCACCCGGCTTGCTCCTTTATGAGGCATTCAATCAATAAAATGAGAGCAGAGCTCTGTCAGATTTATTGGCTGGGTTCAAACCGAACACCTCTTCCACCCGCCAAAGGCTGGGCCACCAGTTCTACCTTTCCGTTCCGACTCTGGTCAGCCCCCATTTTCCCCTGTGGGGCTACAATGGTTCATTGTTTGAGGCAGGCCTTGTGAGAAGTCCTGTTTGTTTTGCCTCTTATCTTATCAGCTCCAGAGCTACAATGGCCCAGGTGTACTCACCATTTTACCATCAGGTGAGAGGAGATTGTGGCCCGGGTCCAGGCTGGCTGGGGAGACTTGCTGTAAAACCGACTGGCTGGTCACCATGGCGCTGTTGCCATGGTGACTGATTGTTGAGGAGGAAGTGACCTCATTGTTTCCCTGCTGGCTGTAGCGCACTCCTGCAAAACAGGGCAGACCCGACAGCGAACATTAGTGCCACCAGGGCTCTGGAACACTGACTCAGCTCCCCTTGTTTTCAAGGGTGGATGACAAGAAAGCAAAGTTGCCTTCTCCTCCCCTGTCCACCCAGGAGAAATATCGGCCGTCTTTCTCTAGGGTGAAAGTGGCACGGCCTCTCCTTGAATTCTGGAATGTCGGCTCCATGGGGGCAGGACGTTTTTGTCTGTCTTGTATTGTTCACTGCTGTATCCCCAGTGCCTTGGCACTTGGGAGCCACTCAATAAATATCTGTCAAATGAATGAATGAATGAATGAATGAATGGATTCTGCTCATTGCTTCAGCATAATTCTTTCAGGATTTAGGGGATGAGATTGGCTTTCTCTTCCTGGGAAGAACACTTTTTTTTAACTCTTCAGAAGTCTTCTAGAAATGTTTCCCTGGCATCTCCTGGCTATGTGGGGCTCTAAAGTATGAGATGACCCATTTTACAAAGAGGCACTTGCCTGGTGACCCTTTGTAAGAGCCACAGAAAAATGCATCAGTCTCGGGCTGGCCCCGTGGCCGAGTGGTTAAGTTCGCGCGTTCCGCTGCAGGCGGCCCAGTATTTCGTTAGTTCGAATCCTGGGCGCGGACATGGCACTGCTCATCAGACCACGCTGAGGCAGCGTCCCACATGCCACAACTAGAAGAACCCACAACGAAGAATACACAACTATGTACCGGGGGGCTTTGGGGAGAAAAAGGAAAAAATAAAATCTTTAAAAAAAAAAAAAAATGCATCAGTCTCTGTGTCCCACCATTTTGGCTGAGCCTAAGAGGCCAGGGGGACACAGGCAGAGCAGGACAGGGATGGGGCGGCAGCTAGGAGTCTTTGGCTCTGGAACTCACATTCCTTTGATGGGGTCCCATTTGGCTGACTTCCAGGGCACAGGGGAAGGCGGTCTGCCAGGAGGTGGGGCAGGCAGCACACACAGGCGGGATGTGGATGCTTAGTAAACCACTGCAGTTTGGTCTGCAACGAGGGGAGAACCAAGCATGTTTACAACCTCACTGCTCGGACCCTCCCTCCTGCTCAGGAACAAAACGGAGGTCTGTGCTCAGGAAAGGGAAAGTACTGGGCAGAGACCAGGCAACTGAAGGAAGCTGAAGTGGAGCAAAGAACCTGGGTCCAGTTGGCAGAGGCAGAGTCCTGCCTGATGTGCCCACGAAACAGCCAACGACAAGGTTGGAGGTAGCTGGGGGCAGCTTATCCTAAGCTCAAAGCTTAGAAAGATCGTGTTTTTGTTTTTCGCTTTGGATTTGACAAAAAGGTTTTGGGGACCCTGTTCCTACCTGCAAGGGAGGGAGACTGAAAGCTCTAGGCATGGAATCATTTGGAGAGGTAGGCCTGTTATCTGGCTGCACTTCTTTTGCGCTGTTTCCCAAGAAGAGCCATCACTGTATAAAGTATATTGATTCTGTTGCTCTGTGCCCCTCCACCCTGGTCCTGCCTCTTGCCCTCCCAATGGAGCCCCACCTTCCCGAGGAGGCTACAAAGCCCCGCCATGGGCCAGGTGAGCTGCTATAACCAGCAGCCTCCAATTCACTAAGACAAAGCTTGCTAGAGGGAGACCCAAGCCAGTTTTCCTTGGATCCTCTGAAGGATGTTACCCAGGGCTGACATGACCTAGAGCTTAATAGGACTGGGGAGAAAACAAACAAATGCCAAAGCCAGTTGAAACCTTCAAGAGCAACTTGTTTGACTATGAAGTGGCCTGATGCATGCTCTATGGGCTTCTCTGGTTGTTTGGTTTCCTCATCCTTTGATTCAAGGGGCTGCTAGTAAGTGTGGTATTGGCAGTGGGACAGCACTGGAATTTGGTAGTTATTGGTCCAGGGCACTACATTTTCGGGGGAAGAGGAGCCATGAAGTTAAAAGGAGGAAAGGCTTCCACATCTCCAAGCCAATACCCCCGACCAGTCCTGTCCATCTTCCTCTGTGCCTTTCTGCAGCCTGCTAGGCTCCAGGTCTCCTATTTACCAACCCCTACACCATCCCATTGGGTTAAATTAGGTCCTTTTTCTCCACTGACATTTGCCACTGGGTTCCCGGCAGGATGCTCCCAACAGCTCACAGTGTTGTTGAAGAGAAGAAGAAAGAGATCTGAACCTGGTGAGCTCAGAAGGTAGAGCTAGGTCCAGTGGAAAAGAGGGCAGTAGATGTCAAATCAATGAAGAATTTAAAAGAAATTAAAAGAAAGAATTTTCTAACAAGGAGAGAGAGTTGGAAGACTGTGGGCTCTGGAGCCAGACAAACTCAGGTTCAAATCCTGACTTTCTCTTAATTGATGTGTGATCTTAGGAAAATTACTTTTTCTCTCTGTGCCCTGGTTTCCCCTCATCAAATGGAGAGAATGCTTCCTTAATAGGGCCATTTTTGGATTAGAGATAACATCTATAAAGCTCCTAGCGTAATACCAAATAAATGGCAACTACGGTAGGGATGCTGGGAGGAGGGAGCTGGTGTAAAGTATGCAGACCAAGATATTTGCCCTAAGACTCTAAAATTCTAGGCAATTTAGGGCAGATTCTAAGTGCCAAATGGAATTACCTTTCTATGCAGAAGAGTTTCCAAAGAACCCATGTCTGGTGGAACCACTGATGCTTTACCCTGGAAGCAACTTGGGAAGCAGGCCTGGCCCTTGCCCTCTTGTTCTTTCCTTTTGGAGAAACTGGACTTCACCCTGTTTTTCTCCCGCTTTCTCTGACTCCCTGACCAGCTATTTACCTCCCCAAGATGCTCTGCTCCTGAGAGAGTGGTGATAACGCTGGGAGTCAGGTGTGTTTTCACCTCCCAGCCTGTCCCCATCATCGATTCAGTCTCAAGTCAAACAGACTCCGGTTTTAGCCTATTTAATTTGGCTGAAGGAAGAGGGCCAGCCCTAGGATGATCAAATATGGGTCATGGGGAGGCTTCTCCCCTACCACAGGCTACAGAATTATTTATTTAAAGATAATTAACTAAGGATATCCACAGAAAACAAAAGCCCTCTTTACAAGGGAGCCTGGCACGATAGAGTTGAGAGTCATTTGTTAGAATCCAGGCAGCATAGCCCAAGGCTGCTGTGGTTTTCAAACCTTATTTTCTCTCCCAGCAGAACTTCATTGCATGAGAAATAAAACAGTGGAGCTGCTCTGTTTAAAGACAAATGGGCCTAGACTTCTGCACATTCCTTTAAAGACCTCTGGCTGAGGGATGGAGTTCTGGCTGGGATTTAGGGGATCCGTGTTTGATCTCAGCTCTGCCCTCACCCGTATTGGGTGAGCTCCAGCTTCCTCCTCTCTAAGCCAGGGGAGGGGGCTGTTACCACTGCGGTGTGTGGTGGGAGCTAGGTGTGAGGCTGCTCATCAGCTCCAGAGTTCACCTGTAACCTTTCCCACTGATGCTCCTCTCGACAGGAATTTGGCAATCACTAGGGACCCTGAGAGGGTGGTGTAATCAGCCAGTCACCCTAAAGGGGAGTGTGGAGGTGGAGGGCGTATCACAAGGTACCTGCTGGCGATACATCGGAAATAGGTGTTCTTGTTAGAGGAAGGAGAGGCCAGGTCCTTGTGTATTTCACAAACTCAGAAGAGCGCTTGAATTGAGAATGAAAGTGGAGCAGACCCTGGAGCCAGGTGGCCTGGATTCAACTCCCATCTCTACCACGTAATCTCTGTGTGACCTTGGGGAAGTTATTTCACCTCCCTGAGCTTTGGTTTCTTTACTGTTGACAATATCCCCCTCTTATGTCATTGGGAAAAAGACTGAATGAGTTAATGGGTGTGAAAGTACCCAGACCACGTTTGGCACATAACAGTTGCTTGAGATACATCAGTTCCTCCTGTTTTGGGACTGTCTTTGTCTAAAAGACATTTTTAGGCTGAGTTCACAAAATTTTATTAAGCACTCGCATGTGCCGGGCACTGTGCTAGGGAACTTGTGTGAAGAAATGCAATGGCATCTTCCCTTATTCCTGCACCATTGCAAGCTCTGAAAATGAATATATGACAAGGGTTCTGGTTTAATGCTGAGTGGCCAAAGATGCCAGGTTAATGGCCACTGAGGTCCTGTAAGAGAAATGACAATGCCAGAAGGTGGCCATGCACCTTCCACTCACGTCCCCATCACTGGTCCTGTGAACCACAGCAAGTGTGTTCAGCAGCAAAAGCCATCCCCGCTGGAATCTAGAGCCATCCCTGAGGTCCTGGTGAGGAGGTGATCTATCTTCACCTGTTCCCAGGCCTCAGCATCATGGGCCTTGACCTATTTCTGAATTCCAGACAGCTTGTGGGACAGAGACCAATCATTTGGTTTCTATCCAATATGACTGGTCAGAAGTATTAAAACACGAAAGAAGCTTATGGTTCCAAGAAAGCAGCATCTCCACGCACTGCCTTCCTGTGCCAGCATCCATCTCCAGGGCTCTTCACACTGCTATAGCTTGGGATTTTTTTTCTAAAACAAAATCCTACCATGTCACTGCCCTGTTTGGAAACCTATGATGGTTCCTCACTGTTTTCTGGAAATGCTCCAATACTTAAGACTGGCAGAATTGGGCCTCTGTGACTCCAGTCTGCTTTATCTACATCATCTCTCACCACATCCCATACAGTCGTGTCAGAGCACCTGCCAGTCCTCACACAGGCCCTGCCATCTCCTGCCTCTGTGCCTTTGCTTATGCTGTTCTCTCTGCCTAGAAAACTCTTCCCTTTTTCTCCATGTCTTTAAGAGGGTTGAATGTCACCTCCTCTGTGAAGCTCTCCCTGATTCATCCTGGTGGTTAGCTGCTCCATCCTTTGTATTTTACATGCAGTAGAGACTCTTATAGCAGGAGTTGGTCATGCTGCCCTATAATGCTCTGAGGATTTGTTAACTTCTCTCTCTCATAAAGGAAGAGATGGCTTTCTACTCATTGTGCATCCTCAGAACCTAGTAGAATGCCTGAATTGTGAATATTTGTTGAATGAAGGAATGAG